TATGACATACAGCTATCTACTGGGGCTTTGGGGAAAAAAAAAGGAGGAGGATTGGCAATAGATGTTAGCTCAGAGCCGGTCTTCCTCAGCAAAAAGAGGAGGATTAGCATGGGTGTTAGCTCAGGGCTGATCTTCCTCACACACAAAAAAAACAGTTAAAGCTTCTCAGATCTCAACTCCTTGGCTTCCTGGCGCCAGAATCCACTATCCATCACTGAGACGGAGACAGTTGAAGGACACCCACTTGCGATTCCCTTATCTCACCATCCTTCTCCCTGCTGGCAGCCTCACAAGGCCAAACGCAGGCTGATGGGAAAGTGCTGACCAACAAGGCCACAGGCTCCCCCTCCCTACAAACAGCTACTTTCCTCACAACCTTTAAAACCCCTTGCCTCCCATCTTTCGGGGAGATGGGACAAATTTGAGAGCTCTCATCTCCCGACTCACATGACCCAAAATAAACTCTTTCCTTGCCATAACCCTGGCATTCTAGTTTTATTTGGCCCCTCTTTGTGTGGCGGGTAAAGAACCTGGGTATGTATCTGGTAACAACCAGACACCCTCCCACCTCAGGGCCTTTGCACTTGCTGTTCCTTCCACCAGAAATGTTCTTCTGCCACTCCCTCACCTTCTCAGTGAGACCTCCCCCTGCCATTCTTTTGAATTCCCAATCAGGTATCACCCACCCTCTTTCCTCCTCCCTGACCTGTTGTGGTTTGTTGATCTGCTGATGTCTGTCTCCCTACAAGAGTCTGAGTTCCGTGAGCCCAGGGGTCTTTGTTCTGTTCCCTGACACGTCCCTAGCTCCTGGAACACTGCCTGTACAGAGCAGGGGCTCCATTCATACTCATAGAATGAGAGAGGTTGTGCGTGTAAAACACTCCGCCCAGGAGCTGGCTCACAGGTAGCATTCAATCAATTAAAGCTTAAAATAGAAAACCTTTTAGAAGCCAGGACAGGAGAGAAGAGAAGGCAGCATCACTCGGAATGTTCTGTACCCGCCTCTCAGTTATTAATAAAAATAACAACTTACATTTGGAGGTTTACTAAGCCGGTACCCCACTGAGTACTTGAGAGGTGTCATCCAGTTGCAGCGTCACTCTCCTAACACTCCGCCCAGTTGGCGTTGTCATCTCCCTCTGGCAGTGCAGAAAACTGAGGCACAGAGAGGTCAGCTTGTCTTCCCTAAAGTCCCACCGGCTGGTCAGGTGCTCGGCACCCCGGTCTTTCAGACTCGGGAGCTCTGCACCTTCTGGGTCGAGGACAACTTTGGCTTCAGAGAGTCAAAGCTGGGCTCTGTCGGGTGCCCCTGTCCCCAACTGCCAGAAAATGGTTATTCTACTGGCAGCTTCTCTCCGGGCGCAGGTTTCTCATGAGGGTGCTAGACTCCTATGGCGATGACTACCGGGCCAGCCAGTTCACCATCGTGCTGGAGGTGAGTGCGGAGTCCCCGGGCGGGCTGGGTGAACCAGGAGCCCAGGACACAGCCTTCACCTGCCTCCTCATCTCCCTGCCAGGATGAGGGCAGCCAGGGCACAGATGTCCCCACCCCAGGCAACGCCGAGAACGAGCCTCCAGAGAAAGAGGCGCTGTCCCCACCCAGAAGGACGCCAGCACCCCAAGAACCCAGCAGCCCAGCCCCTGGTGAGGGGCCCAGCGGGCGGAAGAGGCGGCGAGTGCCCCGGGATGGACGTCGAGCGGGAGCCGCGCTGACTCCGGAACTGGCTCCGGTGCAGGTGGGAGAGGTGGGACCAGCTCTTGGCTTTGCTGCTGTTCCGAGGGGGACCAGCAGCAGGGGGCCGGCCTTGCAGTGCACTCAGGCGCAGGGCTGGGGAGAGCTGCAGGACAGAGGTGGAGCGGGAAAGGTTGGAGAGGGTCAGGGTTGGGTAGGGAAGGAGAAAGAGCTGGAAAAGCCTGGGCAAGGGCTTGGGTGGAGAAGGAGGAAGCCTTGGAGGAGGTTGTGGGGAGGAGCAGAGGAGTGGAGGGCTGGGAGGAGAGGAGGAGGAAGGGAAGGCAGATGAGGGGAGAAAACAGAGAACACGGGGACCTATCCCCCAAGAACGTTGGGATTTTCTCCGAGGTGCACAGAGGAAGTTGTCAGGAAAAACCAGAATGGTGAGGGCTGTGGTCTTCTCTAGATCCCAGGCCTACTCACGCCTCGCTCTTCTCTCCCCCAGATTAAGGTCGAGGAAGACTTTGGCTTTGAAGCGGATGAGGCCCTGGATTCAAGTTGGGTTTCTCGGGGGCCAGACAAACTGCTGCCCTACCCCACCCTAGCCAGCCCCCCCTTTGACTGACCCCCCAATAAACTGACCCCAGACTCCCCTTGGCCACTGTCTACTGCTCCCACCTCTAATCACACATACGCTCAGACTCTGGGGTCAGTTTTCACATTTTTATTGAGGGCCACCGGGGAGGGGGCCTCCTCCCTGTCAACGGAGGTGCTCACAGTTTCTTCAGCCACTCCAAGCTTGGGCCCTGGGGGTCCTGCGGGTGGCTGGGCACATCAGGCATGTTCCCATCATCTCGGAGGGGCACTGTGGGACAGGAGGGTGGGCCACTGAGACCAGCAGATCTCCAGGGGCCCGTAGAGAAGGGCTGGCCTGTCAGTTTATATTCAAAGAGGAAATGGCACCCCACGGGAGAGATGAGAGAAGAGAGTAAGAGTCAGGGAGTCAGAGATGCAGAGAGAAGCAGGGAGATAGAGACCCAGAGACATGGGAGACCAGAGAGAGAGAGACTGATTCAGAAAGGAGACATGGGGCGAGAGAGAGAGAGAGACCCAACAGAGAAGGAAAGAGAGAGGACGGAGACCTGGAGAGATGGAGATCCAGAAAGCAAGAGAGATGGAAACCCAGAAAGGGACAGAAATCTGGAAACTCAAGTCCAAAAATGGACAGGAAGTGAATTTTATGGCATGTGAATGATATCTCAAAAAAATAGAGAAAGGACAAAGGAAGTCCAGACTGCACTGCAGAATCTCAGATCCCTGCTGAGGAGAGACCTGCCCATCATTATTCCTCCCCCAGTGCAGGGAGGTCCCCCGGCCCTGCCCTGGCTCCCACTCACCTGGGTAGTTGTAGGGTGTGACCTTGTTGATCATGATGGAGTATTTGGTGTAGGGGCTGAGGGTGGGCACAATTATAGCTGTGGAGAGACACATGGGTGAGGCCCAGGGGACAGTGGCTCTCGAGGGGAGAAGGGGGAAGTAGGGAGAGGCTGAACCTTGGCAAAGGGGGAGTCAAGTGCATGGGAGGAGAGCAGGGAGGTCTAGCACCTCCAGGAGGCCCCTTTCTTCTTTGGGCACCCAGGGATCCCCATATATCAGAAAGGTTTATCATTTTTTTTGGAGGAGGGGTAGGAGCCAAGCTGTCATGGATACATGGAACCCAGAGGGCACAGAGGAGGGAAGAAGTGGGGTGGTCATGGAATGAATGCATTTGAGTGTAGAGGTCATGGAGCATGGGGGGAGGATATCTTGGGAATGTTCCAGAGGAATCATGAACTGTTACAAATTGAGGGAGGGGGTTGTACTAGGAATGGTTGCTGAGAAATTATAGTCCATCTAGAGTGGGAGCCAGGAGTCCTGGGGGGGTTGGGTAGGGCGTATAAAGGAATGTTCCAGGTTAGGCTGCCTGACAGAAATGTAATTTTATATTTCCTCATAGCCACATTAAATAAAGTTAAAAGATACAGAATTAATTTAAAAAATATATTTAACCTGATATATCCAAAACATTTCAACATATAATCAATGTGGAAAAAATTGAGACATTTTATATGCTTTTTGTCATACTGAATCTGTGAAATCTGGTGTATACTTTACATGAGCATAACATGTACCATCTCAATTCATACTAGCCCCATTTACAGGGGCTGCGTGTGGCCCGTGGCTGCCCAATGGGAAACTGTTGTTCTAGAACCTTATCCAGTGTGTGGTCTGCTGACTAGCAGTATTAACCAGACCTGGGAACTTGTTAGAAAGGCAGAATCCCAGGCCCCGCCCCAGACCTATTGGGTCAGAGCCTGCATTTTAACAAGACCCCCTCCTCAAGTGATTCCAATGCAGAGCAGCCCTGTTCTAGAGCAGAGGTTCTCGTTCTCAGTCAGGGCGGCACATTAGAACCACCGAGGGATTTTCACAAGATGCAGATTCCCCAGCCCCACCTAACTCAATTCGGAATCTGGTGGGGGGTGATGGTGAAAGGGGGCAGGATTCGGACACTACTTTTATTTTTGGCGCTCAGGTGTTTTGAATGCACAGCCGGGGTTGAGAACCTCTCCTTTAGAGAGATTATGGATCTCTTGGGTAGGTGTGTATGGGGTGGGGAGCGATGGGGGTGGTGAAGGGATCATATTAAGAATGGGGGTAGGCAAGGGGACGTTGTGGGGGTGCTGGCACACTGGTGGGGACACAGAACGCTGGGGGCGGCGATGGGGCTCGGGGTACAGGAAGGACGCTGGCGGGGGGATGGAGCGTTGGTGTGGGGCGATGGGACCTTTCGGGGGGCGGGGGGGAGGTAAAGCTGGGACGCCGGGTGTGGGTGATGCACGTTCCCGCACACGCACCGAGGCCCGCGATGGTGAAGGACGCGACCAGCACCGGCTCCTTGGCCCAGGCATTCTTGAAGAAGGCGGCGAGTCCTGGAGGGGCGGGAGACGAGGGTCACCCCTGCAGGGGATGCCCCCGGTGACCTCTAACCCCCTCGCGCCACCCCTGCCCTGGAGGAGCCCTCTCGTGACCTCTGCGTCCCCCTCCGGCCCGGATCCCACCGCCTCCACGGGGGCTCCGCTGCGCCCTACCCTTGACCATCGGGGCTCCCGGAACTACCCGCCCCCCGCACATCGGCTGCACCCACACTTACTCGCGGCCATCTTGGTCTCGGCGGCGGCGACAAGAGAGCAGAGCACTCTGGGAATTGTGGTCCCTACACGCGAGGCTCCGCTGACTGAGTCTGCGCCTGCGCACTGGCTCAGAACGGCGGTCCAAGGCGGTGGCGACGGCGTGGAGCATTCTGGGAGTTGTGGTTCCAGCGCGCGAGGCTCCTCTGACTGAGTCCGCGCGTGCGCACTGGCGCAGAACAGAAGTCAGAGGCAGCAGCGGGAAGGGAGGCGGTGCCCCAGATTTAAGTGTAAACCTGTCTTGGCATACCTGCCGCTGATCTCTTTTCACTCTTAGCCCAGAAGTCGCTCCCGAGGACTGACTTCCAGTTCTCCTCTTGCAACCCACCTGAGGCAGAATGCATTGGTCCTCATTTTATAGTTTACTTATGAAAGCCCATTTACAGGTGGAGACACAGAGGCTGTGAGAGGACGAATGACTGACCTATCACTTGAGGTCACAGCTCAAAATCAGTTCATCCTGGAAGCCCTGTCTCTCATCCCAGAAGGGTTAGGCATCTTCTGTGGACTCTCACAATGCGCTATGTAACCTCCATTAGAGCGCACATCACTTCTTTTTTTTTAACTGACCTGGTCTGGATCCGTCTTTCCAACAGACTGGGAGCTGCTTGAGAGCAGTGATGGGGTCTGACTCCTCTCTGTGTCCCCAGAATCAGGCAGCAGGGTCTGGCATATAATAGGTGCTATTTTTTTTTTTTTTTTAAAGTTTAATTAATGAACACAACCGGTTATGACTGCTGCAGTCCCAACTTTTTCCACTGCACCATGGGGCTGTGACACAGTCACCCAGGGGCCCCCACTTCGCTCCTTCCTTCTCCAAACAGGGCCCGGCCCCGGCTTTCTGATGTTGCCTCATTTCCTGAGAGATGAGAGGGCACCGCCAAGCCCTGGCTTCTGCTTCCACTCCAGCTGAGACCTGCCCGCCATGGTCCTGGTGCTACTCCTCCAGCTGCTGACTCTCTGTGAGCCACCCCACCCCTTTCCAAAGCCAGAGGACACAGAGGCCCCAAATTCCTGCGTTCCTGGAAGAGGAAGGAGTAGGGGGCAGGATTCTCTGGATCTTGAGGCAGGAGGGGGCTGGGGACCTGATCTCCTGGGGACAAGGGAGTATAGAGTCCTAGATTCTGATGTGGGAGGGGGATGGACGCCAGGACACCTGGGTCCTTGGGAAAAGAGGGAGCTGGAGGTCCAGACTCCTGAACCCCAAGGAGGGGAACTGTGGGTTCAGATTACTGTCTCCTGGAGAAGGTGGAGTCCAAGAGCCTGAACTCTTGGGTGTAGCAGCAAGAGGGGGCTGGTTCCAGATTTCTGGCTTAAGTAGGTAGGGATTGGAGGTCTGGATTTATGGCTACCAAGAGAGGAGAAATATGGGGGAGATTCCTGTTTCTCAAAGGAAAGAGGGCCTGGAGACTTAGATTCCTGGGTTCCCAATGAGGTGGGGATGGGAGCAGTCTAGGGCTTTGAAAAGACCTAGCCCCCTCTACCTTCTACAGGGCCTCTGTGTCACACATACGTCACTCCAAATGGTGAGTAAAAGACCCACCCATTCCTCTGTATGTTGCTGACACCCCATTTCCAACTACTCAGATTTCATTTTGGTGCCCAACCTCACGCCAGATTTCCTTATTTCCCTCTCTCCCTCCCTTCCTTTTCTCCTTCCCTCCCTCCTTCCTTTATTTCTTTCCTTCCTTCCTCACTCCCTTTAGTGACCAGTATAGGTGAGTAGTGAAGACCATGAACTTGGGAGCTAAAAAGACTTAAGCTGGGATCCCATTTTCACCATCTTATTCATTTATGACCTTGAACAAACCACTGCTTGCTAAGACTTAGTTTCCTTTTTTGTGAAATGGGCTGTTGTGAGGATTTAATAAAATCACATGTGTAAAACCCTTGGCTCAGAGCTTGGCATAGTGCAGGGCTCAAGAAATAGGATCTCTGGCAATGCCAATTATTCCCTCATTTCCTCTACCCCGAGATAACCCTGTGTTTCCTTCCAGGTTTTTGGATGGATAAGAGCTCTTCTTTCTCTCAATCTCCCCCTACTATACTCCAACCTCAAATAAGAACCACCTGGAGAACCATTAATAGCTTAGGTATCCATTTATTTTAAATTACAATTTTTAAATGATAAAGCTAATATATATTCATAGTTTTAAAAATTCAGTCATTCTCAAGGGACATATAACAGCCTCTCTCTTCCCCTTCCTCATCTTCCTTAAATAATCTCTGAATCCTTACAAAAAATTTCCATGCGTTCAAACACATGTATGTGTGTTTATTTATATACTTCTTTGTTTTCTTGCCAAGGCAAAACTGATATTTCGTGACTCAGTTCTGTGTCTTACATTTTTCACTTTACAATCTCTCTTGGAGATATTTCCATGTCATTATAGCTAGCTCTACCTTTTTTTTTCTTTTTTTAAACTGCTGTTTAGCATTTGCCATTGTATGGCTGGATTCTGATTTATTTGTCCTTCTTGATGTATATTTAGGTTGTTTCCAATCTTCCCCCCTCACAATCAATGCTTCTGTATGAGCTTTTTGTGCCCATGTGTATGCATTTGTCTAGGGTAGAGCTGTGGAATTATTGGGTCATTGGTCATGTCCTATGTGTATCATGATAGAAACTGACAAATTGCCTTCTTAAAAGGTGCGCTCAAGTGCACCTAAGTGCCTTTTTCACTACACATTCACCCAAATGAAATATTAACCATCGTTTTAATTTTTGACAACCTGATAGGCAAAAATATCTTACAGTTGCTTTAATTTTTTAAGATATTATTACTAAGGTTGAGCAATTTACACCCGTCCCCCACCCCCCAATATGTTCTGGTCAATTGGACTTCCTCTTCTGTGAATTGCCTTCTCATACGTTTTGCCCAACTTTCAATTGGGTTGGCTCTAGGATTTTTTTCTATACTCTTAATCTATGTGATTTATGAATAAGTCATTTCTGCCAGTGCTGTCACTTGTCTTCTAGCTTCATTCATTTGTCTTTTCTCATCCACAACTTTAAAATGTTGAAGTGGTCAAATCTATTAACCTTGTCCCATCTGAATTTTTCATTTTATATTTTAAGACAGCCTTCCCTACCCACAAGACAAATATATTTTCTTCTAATACTTTTATAGTTAAAAAAAAAAAAACAACATGTAAGGGGCTGGCCTGGTGGCGCAGTGGTTAAGTGCACACACTCCACTTTGGTGGCCCGGGGTTACAGGTTCGGATCCCGGGTGTGCACTGACGCACCACTTGTCAAGCCATGCTGTGGTGGCATCCCATATAAAGTAGAGAAAGATGGGCACAGATGTTAGCCCAGGGCCAATCTTCCTCAGCAAAAAGAGGAGGACTGGCATTGGATGTTAGCTCAGGGCTGATGTTCCTCACACAAAAACAAAACAAAACAAAAAACATATGTAGGTCTTTAATTAATCTGGAATTTGTTTGGGTGAATGGTTGAGGTAGGGATCCAACATTTTCTTTTTTCCCCAAATAGATAGCAAGTTTTGGCAACTACTGAAATATGTTGAATATGTTACAAATATTCTGGAGAGCAATTTAAAATCACAGATTTTGGGGACCCAACCCCTTGACTCTCTGTTTGTAAACTCAGGAGTTGATGCTCTGCCCCTTTGATTGACAGCTAGTTTTGACAAGCCTCAATTGGGGTCCAGCGCCTCCCCTATTTTACAAATAGGCAACTGAGGCTGAGAAAGGGTCAGTGATCGTCCTAGGTGATTCTCCTATCTCAACTTCCCCTTCATCTCCTCTGGCTCTCAGGAAGCCTGAGGACCCAGACAGCCCCATTTATTCAGTCCCCCTAGCGTTATACCCCAAGCCGTGGCTGGAGGCTCAGCCAGCTGCAGTTGTGACCCCCGGGGTCAACGTGACCTTGAGGTGCAGGGCACCACAACCTGCCTGGAGGTTTGTACTCTTCAAATCTGGAGAGATTGCCTCCGTTCTGCAACGGAATGTATCCATGGAGTTGGCAGAGTTCTTCCTGGAGGAGGTGACCCTGGAACAGGGAGGCAGTTACCGCTGCTGCTACCAGAGGCGAGGCTGGGGGCCAACTGTCTGTTCCCACCCCAGTGATGCCCTGGAACTGCTGGTGACAGGTGAGGTTCTGTGGGTGGAAGAGGGGAAGGGACACAGGAGTGGTATGAGGGAGGAGGGAGGAGGAACAGAGAGAGACATACAGAGACAGACTTGTACAATGGCACATAGAAAAAAAAGCTACATGGAGAGAGAGAGAGAGAACCCCAGAGAAACAGGGGTGATTCTCAGCCAGGGGTGATTGTGTCCCCTAGATGAACTGTGGCAATTTCTGGAGATATTTTTGGTTGTTATGACTGGAGAAGGGTGTGCTACTGGCATCTGATGCGTAGAGGTCAGAGATACTGCAAAACATCTTACAATGCACAGGACAGCTCCTCTTCCCCCATACAACAAAGAATTATCCAGATTTATCCAAAATGTCACTAGTGCTGAGAGACACAGAAACACAAGGAGAAAAATCAGAAGGAGACACACCACCTGAGAGCCAAGGGGAGTGAAACACGCACTGATGGGGAGATAAAAACAGACAGGGAATTTTAGTGAGACATAGGCACAGAGGGAAAAGGGACTTACAGGGAGGGAGAGACAGAGACGCAGAGAAAGGCACGCTTGGGGACGAAGACACAGGAAGCCACAGGGACACAGAGACACAAGGGCACAGAGACCCTCACAGAGACAGAGAAACTGAGGCGGATGCACAGGGAAGGCGCGAGACATGGAGACACTGGCTGAGACAAAAGGAGGGAGAGTGAGATACGGGCGGAGAGAAGAGGAGAGGGAGGAGAGAGAGGGAGGAAAGGATGGAGGGACAGGGAGGGAAGCGGGGGGGGGGGAGGACATGCAGGCGCAGGGCGGCGCCAACCCTCGGTCCCCGCCCTCCCCGCAGACGAGCTGCCGCGCCCGTCGCTGGTGGCGCTGCCCGGGCCGGTGGTGGCGCCCGGCGCCAACGTGAGCCTGCGCTGCGCCGGCCGCCTGCGGGGCATGAGCTTCGCGCTGTACCGCGAGGGCATGGCGGCGCCGCTGCAGTACCGCCACTCGGCGCTGCCCTGGGCCGACTTCCCCCTGCTCGGCGTCCGCGCCCCCGGCACCTACAGCTGCTACTACCACACGCCCTCCGTCCCCTACGTGCTGTCGGAGAGCAGCGAGCCGCTGGTCATCAGCTTGGACGGTGAGGGGACCCGCGACCCGGCCCCCACCCCTCCTCCCCCAGACCCGGGAGTCC